TTCTTCTTTATCAATTATTATAGGTTTTAAATTTCTCTCATCAAAATATAATTTTTCAACATACTCTTTCCATAATTTCAGTTTTTCCCCCAATTCCAAAACTAAATCATCCTTTTCATTTAAAATACTAGTAAATTTATTTCTTCTATTTGTTCTGGTAAGCTCTTTAATTTTCTTATGTACATTATACGTATCATGTTTTCTTTGCAAATTTTCAATTTCCTCGCATTTTTCTTTCATCCAATTTTCTTTTGCTTGTTTAATTTTCCTTCTTATAGTGATATGGAGTTCTTTATATTTAAAAATATTTTTATTTTTCCAATGTCTTCGTTCTTCCATTAATTCTAATATTTCTTTTGACATCCATTCTTTCTTTTTTAATGTTTTCTCAGGTTTTAGATTTTGTTCCACTACATTGTTTATAGTTTTCCTCAGATTATTCCATAATTCTTCACTATTTGTTCTTTCTTCTTCTTTTCTTTTGCAAAATTTTTTCCTTATTTTTGAAAAACCTTCATTTATATCATTTTTAGTATTTTCCTTTGTTTTGGGATCTCTTAGCCTCCCTATATCTATATTTCTACTTCTTTTAATACTATTTTTCTTAAACTTAACTCTCATACAAGCCACTACTGGATTATGGTCTGAACAAACATCTGCCCCTGGATATGTTTTAACTGATTTAATACTATTCCTATACCTTTTTCGGATTAAAATATAGTCTATCTGGTTTCTCACAACATTATTCTGTTTATCCTGAGGTGATCTCCATGTATATAATCTTCTATTTGGCAGTTTAAAACAAGTATTACTAATGACTAATTGCTCTTCCTGACAGAATTGTAATAATCTATCTCCCTTGTCATTGCGGGCTCCCAATCCAAAGTTTCCCACTAAATCATCAACTCTTCCTTTCCCAATTTTTGCATTAAAATCTCCCATAATAACTAAAATTTCATTTTTCTTTGTATATTTTAAAACATCACTTATATGTTGATAAAAGTCCTCTTTTTATCAACATATATGTTGATACTGTCATCTTTTTCTGCAGTTGGTGCATACACTTGAATTATATTTAAGATTCCTAGATTTGTTTTTATTTTTACTAAAATTATTCGATCAGAAAATGGTAGGAAGAATAAAACTGCCTTGCTTGTATTTTCGTTGCATATAACACCTACTCCGTGGTTATGATTTATCGAATTATTTCCTGAATAATAAAAATTTCCATTCTGTGTTTTGCAAACCTTCGTACCAGGCCATCTAACTTCACTTATACCCAATATATCAATCTTTAATCTTTCCATTTCCTTCACCGTATTATCTAATTTTCCACTTTCAAACATACTTCTAACGTTCCATGTAGCTAATCTTTTGTTTTGTCCGGAGATTCTTAGCACCCTCTGACCATTGAAGGTCTGCCGGGGACTGAGGGCCATTCCTGGATTGTATGTCATAATACTATAACTAGGAAGAAAATAATGTGGTGGTTTTCCGTTGCCTTCCACATCCCCATGCCGTTGACTAAGTAAATAGTTCATCCGCCTTAAGGAGCAATTTCTTACTCCTAGGACAAGAGATTGCCCTTCTTCATCACAAAAATGAAGTTAGAAGTTTATCCCGACTCCTGCTCGGTCCCCTCCTATGTTAGCCGTCTTACCAACGTTGCCCATCCTTCACCAGAGGCATTATGTCTCACACTAGGAGGTATAGGTAGGGATTTTCCCATTAGCAAATTTGAGACCGTAAAGGCATTTCTCAAATTCTCCGGTACTTTTGAAGAATGCAATTAAAACAACTAAAGAAGGTAAAGCTACCGGACCAGATGAAGTTCCCGCTGAAATTTTGAAATTACTGGATGAAGATAGTCTTGATATTTTAGTGGATTTTTACAACATTATTTATGAAAGTGGTGTAATTCCTCAAGATCTTTTAATGTCTACGTTTATAACAATTCCCAAAAAAGACAATGCAAAAAAAATGTGGTGATTATAGAACTATAGGCCTGATGAGTCACGTTTTAAAAATTTTCTTAAGAATAATTCATACAAGAATTTATAAAAAATGTGAAGAAGATTTAAGCAACACACAGTTTGGGTTTAGAAAATCTTGTGGAACAAGAGAAGCTCTTTTTGCTTATAGAGTTCTGGTAGAAAGAAGTTTAGAGGTTAACAAGGATATATACGCCTGTTTTATAGACTACGAAAAAGCATTTGATAGAATTCTGCATGATAAATTAATAGATATACTTGGGAAGAAAGGAATTGATAGAAATGAATTGCAAATTATAACAAATCTTTACTGGGAACAGAAGGCCAACATTTCAATTGATTCTGAATTATCTGAAGAAATAGAAATAAAAAGAGGAGTAAGGCAAGGATGTATTTTATCACCTTTACTTTTTAATATTTATTCAGATGAAATTTTTAAAGAAGCTTTAGAAGATATGGAACACATTGGGATTGTAATAAATGGGATGAATGTAAATAATATACGTTATGCTGACGATACAGTGGTTTTAGCAGAAAATATAAATGATTTGACAATACTAATGGAAAAGATTAATTCAATAAGTAAATTATATGGACTTCAGATGAATTATAAGAAAACAAAGCTACTTATTTCATGCAAGAAAAATATAGATAATGTAACGTTGCAGATACAAAACAGGACAATTGATACAGTTTCATCAATTAAGTATTTGGGGACTATCATACAGGAAGATGGCAGATGCATTAAAGAAATTAAATCTAGAATAGAAAATGCGAGAGGTACTTTTATCAGAATGCAGAAATTTTTCAAATGCAATGTTTTTAATTTACATCTTAAAATTAGAATGTTAAGGTGCTATGTGATGTCAGTTTTGTTTTATGGAGTAGAAACGTGGACCTTAGATAAAAATACGTTAAACAAACTTGAAGCATTCGAAATGTGGTTATATAGAAGAATTTTAAAAATATCTTGGACAGATAGAATAACAAATGAGGAAGTTTTGGAAAGAATGGGGAAAGAAAAAGAAGTTTTAAATACAGTTAAAAGAAGAAAGACGGGGTATTTTGGCCACATCATCCGAGGAAGTAAATATGAAATTTTGAGAAATATTTTAGAGGGAAAAATCTGTGGAAAGAAAAGCCCAGGAAGGAGAAGGAAAAGTTGGTTAGGTAATATATGTGAATGGAATAATAAGAAAGCAGAAGAACTAACACGTGAAGCACAATTGAGATTGTTATAATACTAGTCCTACATTCAGAAATGAATATGGAACCAGAAGAAGAAGAA